TGTTATTGTCTCTTCCTCTATGCCAATATAGTGAATTTTAAAGCTTATTGATAGTAAATTTAGTGATCAAAAGTTCAATAATTTAAGTCATTCTAACTATTTTTCGTTTTGAATGGATTGTTGTCACTTTTTCACATTTTGAATGAATTGTTTATTTTATTTTTGTGTATGGTTAATCACCGAACCAAACCAAACGAAAATTGATAACCACCAAACCGATAAATGTATATTATATTTGGTTTGGTTTGGTTTTGATAATTTTAAAACCGATTAAGTTGGTTTGATTTTGATTTTGACCAATAACCGATCCAAACCGACCCGTGAACACCCCTAATTATACACCATTGGTTATTTTCAAGTTCAATAATTTCATAAATGTTATTTTATGTCCTTTTCAGAAAATTGAAAAGTCTTTGGTACTACTATTATTTTACATAATCCAGGAACTTCCATAACGTTGGCGTGATTCGATTTAAGCAACGGATCCTGACGTGATACATCCTCGTACTATTACTAGTAATACGTTTCGTTTATTCATTCAAAGTTTATACCATTTTTTGTTTTATTACTTGGAATTTTGTGAACATCATTCGAAAAATTATACTAGTAAATTCTTATAGGCTAAGGTATGAAAGTATAGTCTACAAGACATTATGATAAGAGCCTTTATGCGAAATAATCACAATTATTAACATTCAGGTTATTTCATTTTATCCTAAGTTTATTTTTAACATAAAGATAATTAATGCTTAAAAATATATTTGAATTACTAATTTTTTCGTGATTTTATATTTTAATTATATATAAGTTTTTTTCTTCTATATGATCTATCGTTATTTATATATTGAAACACACTTATTTGAGTAGATGGAGATAGTCAAGTAAGAAAAAAGAACAATTTACCTAATCAACTTTGAAATGTATTTTACATAAATTACTTTTACTTATCACTTCAACATATCAAGAAAAGACAAAAAAAATTCATGTTTTATCCATTGCATTAATTACTTAATTTTCAAATTATTTTTCAAAATCTAATAATAAACATTAATTAATAGGAATAGTGTGATAAAATAACAATGTTAATTATTATTTTCTTAATAAATATATCACGTCTAAATATAACAAGTAAAAATGAAGAGAATATAACAATAAAATTCAAATTAATCTTACATAATATAACTTTCTGAAGAAAAAAGTTTGAAATGAACCCCTTGGCTCCATCTAGATACATCGACTGTTTAAGGAAGACTTGGTACACACAATTATTGTACACCTATAGATTTGCACTAATAAATTATTATTTTTCTCTCCTTATTGTTTTTTTTTTAAAAGAAAATTGGAGATTTGGGAAGGAAAAATAGTCAGAAAATTACAAAGTGAAAAATCGGACTCTTATTAATTAAAAAAATAAAAAGTAATAATTAATAATACTCATCAACAAAATGAAAGTTCAGATAGTACTATCTATTTTTTAACACTTTTTTCATGAAGCTGTTGTTCAACAACTTTTTTTTTTTAATTGATATATCTTTTTAAAAGTCAAGTGATCTTTTGAATATTCTGGCATTCCTTTACTCATACAAGAAAGAAGAGAAAAATCAACTAAAGCAAAACCAAATCCCAACTAATAAGCAAACAAACAAACAAAAAGTGTAGGGCATATATGCCTATTTTACAGTACTACTTTATTATTTAATCAGAATTGATTGATGCATTTTGAGATGACTACTTGAATATATTATTAGGGAAATGTTTTTTTGGAAAAAGGTAAGCTAATCCCAAAGACTATTTGAATGTTACATTTCAAACAATTTTTGACATAAACAACATGAAATAACTTCAATATTTATTTTATATTTATATCAAGTTTTTGTACGAATTGCTATTATTTTAAGGTGGTCTTTTAACTTTTTACCCCTCAAATCGGTGGTAAAAAGTTGTCCGGCAATTTTTTTTAAAGAAGTATTATGAATTTCTTAAGAATTAAGACATGCATAATATTTTGAAACTAAATTTATGCATCTATCAGCATAGGTTCAGTAGGAACTACTTATGAATTGTTAAATATAATTTATGCCATTAAGGACATAAAGTTCTCTAGGATTTAAAGCGAAATAATTTGTTATGTCTAACAAAACATAACTTGTATTATTTATAATACAAAATATAAATTTTTGCCTTGTGAATTTCTCTTTTAACTGGTGAAATAAGTACACACGCATAATTTTTTTACCCATTTGAGTAGTCTTGTAAAAATCCCTTCTCTTTTTTCTTTTTAAGCATTAGGTATATGAATTTGATTTGACGATTAATCTAAATTCACATCGATAAATTGACTTTCTATTCTTTTATCCTGTTGAATTAGACATATAGCTGATTTATTAACCTAATGTTATTTATGATGCTAAAAAGCTGAAAACATTGTGGCTAATCAAGTGCAAGTTTGAATTTGATATTAGGTGCCACTAATAATTGCAAGGAGTTATCGATAGATGCCCGTTCATCAAGACTCTAAATCTAGTCTCTTGCCAGGGAATAATTAAGCAAATTGCATGTTTTTGGCATGAGAATATATAGAAGTTTAGCATGCCAACCATTGATCTTATTCAGGGTCTTACCCATTATTTTAGTAAAGATTGAGATTAATTTCGATGAGAGGAATATGCAAGAGATGGGGACTCCAATCGGATAATCATCAAAGTAACATATAGTGATCAGAAAATCATTGGAAGCAAAGTAACATGAATTCTCAACCATGAGAATAGATAAAAATCACATCTATTTCACATTTCACTTTTGTTAAATACAGTGGCTAATATTTGTAAATATAATTATAATTGGGAAACTCACTGCTAACAAAATGTCAAAAAACAACGGTCCAAGGCGACGGACTGCGTCGTTTTTTTGTCAAAATCGACGGAAAAACGATTCAGTCACTTTCGTTGCTTTTACGCTCGCAATGGACTGCGTCGCTCAAAAGTGACGGGCGGTGTCTTTTCCTTTTTATCTTTTCTTAAGCAACGGGCAACATCGTAATTTTTAAATTTTAATTTTTTAAAAAATAATGCGACGGACGGGGTCGCTTTTCTAGAAAAAATCATTAAAAATTTCAAAAAAGCAACGGACAATTCATCGCTTTTCTGCATTTTCTTTTTTATACAAACAGAGAATATGCATACATTTAATTAATAGTCCTTTATTCCACATACAAAATCATGTACACACATAAATCATCAATCTTTTGACAAGAAAGGTAGTAAAAACATCCATAAAAGAATGACAGTAAAAATACACACACAATTGACATTAAAAACGATGGACACCGTTGTTTTCTGAAAATTATTTTTTAAAATAATATCAATGCAGTCCGTCGCTTTTATTAAATATGAATATAAATTATTTATACATAATTTTGGCGTATTTTTTATTTTAAAAAAAGGGACGGGCAAAGAGGCCCTGTTCGTCGCTTTTTCAAAAAGAAAAAAAGCGACGGACGAAGAGGCCCTGTCTGTCGCTTTTATAAAAAAAAGTAGAAAAAATTTTTAAAAATGAAAAAAGTGACGGACAGTGTTGCATTTGCCGTCGCTTTTTTGAAGCAACGCAGTCCGTCGTTTTTTTACCTTTTTTTAGTAGTGACTTACATAAATATATCATATTAAAAATATATTTACTATTTATAGCAAATAACTTTTTTTTTTCCACTTGATCACTTTTAATACATTTATAATACAATTTTAATACATATTACAAAGAACAATTTATATGCACATATAATATAAGTTTTATTGATGGATAATACATTTATCACACATTTTAATACACTTATAATACAATGTGTCAATTTCTTACCAAACAAGCATAATATATTTTAAAAAACAATCATAATACATATATATTGCATACATAATTCACTTTAATACATATTACAGATTTAACATAATATTGCTATGTATTGCTATAAATGGTAATAAATAAAAAATATCGCTAAAATCAGTAATTATTTATTAAAAGGAACTCATCCAAGTAATTTTTCATAGCCGAATTCAAACTAATTCCCATTGACTCAAAATAAATTTCATTTTATACCCTTTTATAGGGTATTTACTTAGTTTCCCTTTTTTTTAAATTTAGGGTAAAAAAATTAAATAAAAAGTGGATATTCACTTAACTCACCCCAAATATATGATTGAGTAGAGTTAATATTTTAAAAGATCACTGAACTATGCAAAATTATCTAGAAAAGTCATTAAACTATTTTTTATATCAATAAAATCTCTCAACTTAACACTTTTATCTTCAAAAATCATTCAACTATATTTATAATTGAAATAAATTTGCCATGACAAATTAAATTGTTTTTCTATAACATGTAATCATGGATGGCATAAATAAACAAAATTATAAAATTAATTTACCCCACAAAATTTATGCATGTATTTCATTTTTACCTTGAAAATTATGTCATTGTGTCTAATATGACACCGACTGCATAATCAGATAATCTCCAATGCAGTGGTCATATGTCGCCTGAATATGCAATACAAGAAATATTTTTTCAATAGTCTAAGCACCAAAAAAAAAAAAAACACCAACGCTATAAAAATTGACTAAACATTTCGAGCTGTAAGCAGAAAAGTTGTTCGATTTATCTTTTCCTGTTCGCATATAAAATAATTATCTCTGGAATGGCAACTGTGGAGTGAGGGGAAGACAGTCACGTTTTTAGACCAAAGTTGAGTAACATATGATCAAAGAGCAAGTTATAAGAGGTATAAATATTGGTCTCTTGTGTGTTGAGGATTTTATTTTAATGATAGAATGATTTTTGAAAATAAAAATGGAGATTTTATTGATATAAAAGAAAGTTCAATGACTTTTCTACATAATTTCTAATAGTTCAGTGATCTTTTAAGCTATTAACCTTGATGGAGCATGAAAGTGAAACCATTAAAAGAGGATATACAACGGCACCAAGAAATCAAAACGAAGGAAGCAATATGGCGAAAAGAGTTTGTGTTGATGGAGAAGACAGAATATCAGAATTGCCTGTGCATATTATTCATCAAATCTTATGCCGCACTGACCTCGGCGTTGAAGAGGCGGCGAGAAGTTGTATCTTGTCCAAGACATGGTACGATTGCTGGACTTCAAGACCTAATTTGATATTCTATCAATTTGATATGACCCTTGAAAACTATGTCAAGTTGGTTGATCAATCTCTGCGATTCCACGTCGAACGAAACTTACATCTTGAACAATTCATCCTTAGTTATCGTGATCCAGAAGTGGATTCTCACATGGATACTTGGATTGAATTGGCGGTTAAACTCAATGTCACAGAGCTGGGAATTCACCGTTTCGGTTTAACATCATATAACTTACCTGATGTTATTTATGATGCTAAAAAGCTGACAACATTGCAGTTAAGCAGGTGCAATTTGGAATTTGACAAAAGATTTTCTTGTCTTGAGTCTCTTTCTTTGAATCATGTCCATATTTCAGATGCCCAATTACAAAGAGTTATCAACAGATGCCCATCTATCAGGACTCTAAGGTTACAGTGTTGTGAGGGTATAAGCAAATGTCATATTTTTGGCTTAGTACATCTCAAGTATTTCGATGCTAGTTATTGCAAACTCCATAGTGTGATAGTCCAAGCTCCATATCTTCAATGCTTTAGATATACAGAACCTACTGAACAGGGTAATCTTCATCCTTGCCAAATTGCTATTTTGGATGGTTACAATACTTTACAAACACTCGAGCTCACTGGTGCCACCATCACAGACCAACAGTTTCGAGATGTATCTTATAAGTTCCCAAATATTTCAGAATTGAATCTAAGATCATGCTATAACCTGAAAAATATAGAGATTCAGAGTGAAAAACTCAAGAAATTCACCTTATTAGAGTTGAAGAGTCTGGAAAAACTCACGATTCAAGCTCCAAATTTATTGGAATTTGATTTTCATGGTAGTAAAATGCCCGTCACATATATGGATACTTCTTCCCTAGAAAGTGCCCGACTGATATTAATAATATTTTGTCGCCAGGTAGTTTACATTCTTTTTATGCTTATGTCATTGATTTATGCATTACTTGTTGAATTTGGTTTAAACTATGGCATTGACTAAATTCTTGCAGACCAAAAGCATCCTTATTTATGAAAATCTAAGAGAAATTGTTATTCCACCAAGTCACAAAGTCGAGATATTCATTGCATCCATGCTGAGTGTTGAATCGATCATTGGAATAATAATGTTCGGAAGTCCCTATATCATATCCATACTTCCATGTACAGATAGCAAAGCACTACAGGTAAAACGTCCCTTGTGCTTGTATAAACTAAGACATTAATTTGAGAAGAAAATTTGTTGTTAAATGTTGATTGCTCGTCTCATAAGCATTATTATTGTATAATATATCTTATGTTTTTGCTTAAATGCAGGCGATGTCTACACTAAAAGGGTGTACACAAAAGCAAAATTGTGGTAAAGAATGTCCATTCAATACCAAGTGGCATCGTAACTTAAAAGAAGTTATCAGTTGTACTGGGACACCTGAGGAGGGAATGGCCGCCTCCATGTGGTATCTCTGGTTGAAATCTACATCTGTAATTGACCAAGTGAATAATTTCATGTTAAAATGGAAATAACAAGCTTAGACCAAAGAGTCTTGGCGAATTCAGCATATATTTTGCGGTCTATCTTTAGTATCAATGGTTATGAATGTGTATATGAATTGGAAAATATAATATTCTGGGCTGCAAAGATATACGTAATTGGAGTTGTATAAGCTTTGTAGACAGATAGACGCCTTCCTTGTATGTAGAAATCAGGAAATTGAACATAACTTGAAAAATGGAAAGTAACACTCTGTTATGACCTCATGCAAATAACCAAAATGAAGCAGATGGATTGTCTGTAAACAACAATAACTCATCTGAAGAGGACAGCTTCCACACTAACATGTCGTTTTCGTTTTCCATTAAAAGATTTTGCATCCATTGAATTAAAATCTTATTAACTCTAGTTTTCATTTATTCTTCAAAGTTCTTTAGAATCAAGATCCTCTCGAGTAGGTTTGGATTCTCATACATAAACTCCCATGGCATTTCTTTCGTTGGGATATTATATCTAGGATTGTTCAATCAATAGGCACATCAAGCAACTTTTTTCAAACAAGAAAGAATATGGCTTGGTTTCAAAAGAGTGACTGAATATTAATAGCTTATAAAAATAGTGGCTATTATTTGACAATAGGTCATGTTAAAAGACTTAATTCCCACTAGGAGCCTTTTAGTCATCAATTCTCACTAGTAAAACCCTTAAACAGGACATACGACGGCACCAGCAAAACGAAGCAATATGGCGAAAATAGTTTATGGACAAGACAGAATATCAGAATTACCTGTGCATATCATTCATCAAATCTTATGCCGCAGTAGTTTCGGCGGCGAGAAGTTGAGTTGTATCTTGTCCAAGAGATGGTACTATTGTTGGTCTTCTAGACCTAATCTCATATTCCATCAATCACAAAACTATAATACCAATTATATATACCTATATCACCCTCGAAAAGTTTGTCAAGTTGGTTGATCAATCCCTCCGATCCCATATCGAACAAAACTTACATCTTCAAGAGCTCATCCTTGAATATTGTGATCCAAAAGTGAATTCCCACCTGGATACTTGGATTGAATTGGCGGTTAAACTTAACGTCACAGTACTGGACATTTGCCCTCCCTTCTTAAGTTCATATAGTTTACCTGATGTTATTTATGATGCTAAAAAGCTGACAACATAAGTTTTGATTGTCTTGAGACTCTTCATTTGCATCTTGCTGTCCATATTTCAGATGCTCAATTGCAAAGACTTATGGATAGATCCCCGTCCATCAGGAATCTATCCCTAGTCGATTGCCGAGGAATAAACAAATTGCAAGTTTCTGGCCCAGTACATCTGGAGATAAGCAATTGTGTCACTGAGCCACTCAACATGAGCAAAGTACACAAATATTTAATTGTGAAGAAGAGGATGTTAAGAATTTTCGTTGTTTTAAAATGAAAGGAAATCCCTCTATTTATAGACAACAAAGGATAGTGTGAACAAATATTTATTGTGCCTTATCGGAAAGGTTACAACTATTCGGAAAAGTTGCAACCTTTCGGAAAGGTTATAACCTTTCATAAAAGTCACAATTTTTTATAAAAGTCGCAACTCTTCATTAAAATCGCAACTTTTCATTAAAGTCGCAATTTTTAATGAAAGTCATAACTTTTCATCATAACTCTTCATTAAGGTTGCAACTTTTCATAAAAGTCGCAACTTCTCATGAATGTCATTACTTTTCATAAAAAAAAAGGCTAATTTTTTAAATAAATTAATTAAAAGAAAGTTTTGGTTTGTGGTGACGCCACGTAGTTTGGTTTGTGGTGACGCCACGTAGGCGGGCCTAAGTTATATAAAATGATATATGATTCAAAAAAATATAAAAATATACTTTTTTTAAAAAAGGATTGGCCCGGAAAAGCCCGTAGCCCACATACTTATGGGTTGGACTGACCATTTTCTGGCCCACACCAAAAATGGGTTAGCCCGATCTGACCGTCAAATTTCAAAGTATATATGGGTAGCCCGGACGGGGGGCTAGCCTATATTGACAACTCTATATATGGGTGTTTAGTGTAGTTAACCTTTGTTTTATTACTGTTAATGTACTTGGAAAATTATTGAGATGTTCTTTTTTAAATTTGAAACATGTGTGATAAAGACGTATTATTTTTGTTCTTGTTGGTTTCTCATCCGATATTTGGTGAATCCGATTAAATTTGAATTTTTGCTAGAAATTTTCATACTGAGGGATAAAATACTTTCTAAAAAAGATAACTTCGTATCAAAGAGACTCGAACGCAAAATCTCTGATTAAGAATGTATGAGTACTTATCACTCCATCGCAATCCTGGTGTGGTGGGTGATTAAGACATTGTGATTTTTGGCAGACAAAATCTTTAGTTAGCTCTAACTAAGTTATTGCGGGCAAGATATATTATTTTTAAAAGTTACTAATAACTCTTTTTTCCTATGCATTTAATTCCATGATTGATTGATTAACTATACAAGCCAAAAATTTAGGTAATTCATTTGGCTAAGGATGAAAATGATTAAAGTTGGCAGACACTTGTCAACTTATGAACTTACTTTTTCATTTTTCAAACGTTAAACATGCTTCACGCGTCATATCAATTAAAATTAAAATATTATCATAATTATCTTTATGTTTCTAAAAATGAAAATACAAATTTCTTTCATTTGGTTTTTCTTTATTTTGGAAGAATTTTTTTGGATATCTATAAATTGAAGATTTGTTAAATTAATCAAATCATATCAAATTATATGCATTTTTAAGTATGATTTCTTTTTTACTTGATTTATCGCCGTTATAATTTACAATTGTTAGCTTATGCATGACGTTTTGATTTTTCCGATCCTAATAAAATGAATCTTGAACCTAATTTACACTCAAGAAATTAGCTCAAAAATAAAAGGATTGTTCAAGTTATATAATCTCGTTTCGATTCGACTATCTAAGGGCATTTTTCTTAAATAGAGGCAACTATTGAAATTGTGAGATAATGTTGGATGTTATGAGCTAATTATGTTTGGCACATCTAATACTAGTTCAAACAGTTGTTATATTTTTTAATTTATGCATGGAGTCACGACCTGCCAAAGAAGAAACACAACTTGAACTGATTTTCTTTATAATGAACAATAAATTAAAGATATTAATTCATAGAGGTACACTAATTGTGTAAAAAAATTGCATAATAATATGTTTTTTTGGAAAACTAAATAAATCCCACTAGTTTAGGAGTTAATTATTTAGGTACACTCTAATTTGCAATATTACGTATCTTATTAGATTTTGGTATGTCTAGATATGTATAGGAGTCAAAATTAGGTATAATTTGTTCGATATACATTGTATCCAAGTAAATTTACATGTATCTTGGATACATAATAAATCTCACTCGCCTCTCTCCTATGTTGCTGGCCATTCTCTCATGTATCTGGTATCTCAAATACATGTGAATCACACCAAATACTTACATATATATATATCGAGTGTTTATCTAATGTGATTCATATGAATCTGCGATAAGTACGAATCTCGCTCGTCTCCCTCCCGATCTCGCTCGCCTTCATACCCATCTTGCTTGCATCTCTCCCTATTTTTGTTTATCTGGTAGCAAAAATACATATATTTAAATGTATTTTCCTCAATATATAATAAAAAAACTATTAATTAATAATAATAATAATAATATATATGACAGTGAAACATGTCTAATTATATAATTTTTCCTTTATATAATGCAAAGTGGATTGGCCAATATTTCTATCTTGCATTGACGACCCAATTCTTGGACCCAATTTTCATTTATTTTAGGTCATCTTTCACAACATGTCCATTTGATGCCCTCTAGTCCAACATTTCAATTTTGTTTCAAAAGACATTTACTTAAAGCTTACCTTTTGTTTGATTAAAGCGACTTTTTTAATTAGT